CAGCAAGTGGAACCAAGGAGCAGTCTTCAGACTGTTAGTTTGGACTACAACTCCAAGAAACCCCCAGGAGCTGGGGGGCAAAGGGAAAAGGAAAGGGAAACTTGAGGCAGAGTAAGGGGAAGAGAGAGCAGCATGCATGTGGAAACTGGTCAGAAATAAGAGTGCGCAGTGAAGCTGGAAATCTCACTGGCTTAGTCAGCCAGGGCTGTGGACTGAAGGAGCTGGACTCAGACTTGGGGGCAGCTGCAGGCTGCTGCCTGGGTGCTCTAAGGACTAAAGTTAGAGATACTTTGGGAGGTGTGTGGGTTGGTGGCGGGGGGCTTAAGGTGCTGAGTGTATGTTACCACAGAATGGACATGTTCTGGGTTTGGGGTGGGACAGGCACTTTAATTAGAGTGGCTCTGAGAGTTGCTCTAGTTAAAGTGCCCTGAGTGTCACGTGTATCAGTATCTCCGTGCTGAAAAATGGTGGTGAGGGCGCTTTCACTAAACACTTTAACTAAAGCTGGTGAAACAAGCTTTAAGTGCCACTGCTGCTGTTTTTCAGTGCGGGGACACTGATACACGTGATGCTGGAGTCAGCTGGAGTGTGGTAATTACTCGATTAATCAAGTCTGTTCTGATGCACTGTAATTACAGCATGTTGGATCAGCCTCGTTGCACTTGTACAAGCACTTGCAGTGTTGATGTTTCTTTATATTTTACCTGTTCCCTTTTTTTTTAGCCCATTGGCTTCTGACTGTAACCTCTAGGATTTTCTATATCAAAGTGGCAACTACTCTTGCTTCTTGTGCCAGTATCTGGAACTGCAGCACTGGCCCACTTCATTGGCATGAGGTAAAAATCTACTGGGCTATGAAATAGGAGTTTAGTTAGCATGGGGGGAGCCACCAGACTGTAGAATGGCAAACAAATGGTCACTGATTGATTTGAAACTTAAAAAGAAGAAACGGTCCTTATCCCCACGGACTGAAGAGTGTGGAAGGGATCCAGCAGATGACAATGAGCCATGATGTCAGTGCTGCCTCAGCGCTCCCCGACTAGAAACGCTGCTGCTGGCAAGTCGGCTTTAGACTCGGAGTGGGCCAGGAATCAAAGGGTTGTATAAAGATTGTGACACATGTCTCTCCTGTTTTCTCCAGTAATGCCAACTGTTGGGAAAGCATCAGAAGACTCAGGATTTCGAAGTCAAAATATCTGACTCTCGAGCTCCTGATTGAACCCTCAAATCTCTGGATTTTCCCAGCTGGTAAGTCTGTGGAGGGAAAGGGGCGGGGGGAGATTGAGCCCCCACAGTGAGAGAAGGGCTGGGGTGAATGGGGCCCCGGGGTGTGAGGTGTGCACCGCTTCCTGCAGCTGCATGCACCCCTGGGCGAGGCATGTGCCCCCCGTGGGGCAGAGGTAAGCTGCCTGCTGTGGGCTTGGGGCTCTGTGCCCTGCTGCCCTTACCCTTGGAGCTTAACCACGTGATGGCAGCGTGCCCCTGCTACTCCCTCCCTCACTTGGGGACCATGATCTCTGCTCCTTCCTTCTCCCCCCACCTTTCCGCTCCACTTGCACCTGGATGCTGTCGCTGTCTGTCTCCGCCCCTCACTCCCAAGCCACAGCCGCCAGGCCTGCTGCTGCCTCCCGCTCCTGAGCCACAGTACCCCACAACCTACAGGGCATGCACCCTCCCCCCCATGTATACACCCACAAATACACTCCCCCCATATATACCCATACTTGGAAAAAAGCGTCTCATGATTTATGTGCCAATCTCTTGATTTTTTTTAAAAGGGTTCGTCTCATGATTTTTAGCACGGTGGGGTTGGCAATGCCGTTTCTCAGACTTCACAACTAAAGAGAAGAAGGAGGAAAGGGGAGGAACCAAATAAAAACCATTTGATTTCCCAGACGCTGAATCAAAACAGTTCAGTCCAAAACCAAAAATCAGGGTTTCATTTGGTCTCAAAACTGCTGGTAGGAAGTAGAAACGTTTTAGCCCAAAGTGTCGATTCCCCAGTCTCTGGGCAGCTGGAACAGCGGGGAGGCGCCCCCTGCAGCCCGTACGGGCGCGACTGGGAGACTGCGTCACTGCCCCGCCCCCAGGCTGAGCCAGGCAGAGGACGCCGGAGTAGGCGCGGCTGATTCGGAGTCTCCCTTCGCATTCCGCAACATGGTACATCTCGTCTCCTTTTGGCCATCACTCCAGCCTCCCGCTCTGTTCCGCCATGTGGTACATCTCGCTCAGCTCGCGCGCTCCTATTGGCCAGCGGGGCGGGCCCAACCGGGGTGCATGGCGGGAGACGCGCATGCGCTTGAGCGCTGCCTCGCCGCGGGGCTCTCCGTCACTTCTGTCTCGCGCGCCCGCTGTGTCCCCCAATGGCGCTCAACAAATCGATGCACGCGCGGAACCGTTACAAGGACGCGCCACCCGACTTCGCTTACCTGGCGTCCAAATACCCCGCCTTCCGCCAGCACGTGCAGACCACGCTGGCCGGCCGCGTCAGGTGCGCGTCGCTCCCATTGGTCCGCGGGAGGAGGGGAGGGGCACGGCGTGTGGCCACGAGTTAGCGCGGGGTAGGCCGGGGGCTAGCGTGGGGGTGCCCGGCCCCCCCACCAACTGCCTTGGTGCCTCGTTGCAGTCTCAACTTCAAGGACCCAGAGGCAGTGCGCGCCCTGACCTGCACGTTGCTGCGCGAGGACTTCGGCCTGGCCATCGACATCCCGCTGGAGCGGCTCATCCCCACCGTCCCGCTGCGGCTCAACTACATCCACTGGGTGGAAGACCTGGTGGGGCCCTGTGGTACCGAGGGGCCAGCTGTGCGGCGAGGCATTGACATAGGTACCCGCCATGCCCCTGCTTGCTCACTCCCATGAGGAGGAGGAGAAGAGAGGTTCTGCCGTTCACCTGCTGTTTCCCGTAGGACAGTTTGGGGCAATAAGTGTGCCTGCAAGCATTAGCAATGGCAGGCTGGAGCACCGCATCTGGTGGCTGGCTCCTCCCCAGGCTCAAGCGTCTTCTCGGTTCGGATGAGCGAATGCCACTTGCCTCAGCTGTGCTTTTGGTCTGGCATGGTCTTGAACTCTCTCGAGCTTAGATTTTCTCTTTATGCAGAATTGTGCCCCGTGGCAGCACACCAGACGACCTCCTGCTTTTAAGGCCGTTTGCTACCATGTTCAAAGGAATAGTTCAGGGTTGTTCAGCCAGATTTGGCCTGCAGGGCCATGTCATCTGGCCCCCAGGGCTCCCAGCAGGTCTGGACATGTGAGGGTGGGGGGGGAGCAGTGGCACTGTGCCACTGCTGCTAAATCTCCAGACCCACGGTGAGCCCTGTTCACTGGATCTAGCACACAGGTTTGGATGTGGGTGGTGCCAGGCTTCAGGGCCAAATCCCATTGTACAGGTGGACAGAGGGAGCAGTGCTGGCCCTCCAGGGCCCAATCCCAGTAGGTGGCGGGCAGGAGGGCACAATGCTGGCCTCCCAGGGTCTGTGCTGCTCATTTGTCCCATAGGGCCAAAAGGTTGAACGCCATTGTTCTAGTTCATGTTGCTTAAGGTTTTCCTTTTTTTTAGCACACTGCTTCCCAGCTTGCTGATCTTATTTTTTTTGCTGCCTGGTAGAAATTCAGCTTGCAACTCGTACGTGTTCAGGCAATCCCTGCTTAGTGCTATTAATTGGTTCTGGAAAAAACGAGCATTAAACAGAACAGCATTAAGCAAAGCCCAATTTCGCATAGGAATTAATGTAAATAAATATAATTTGTCTCACCCCGCCATGGGTCCCTGTTGGACCCTGACCCTGGGGCACTGGTGTGGGCCCTGTGCTCATGTCCACCCTCCCACTCACTGCCACTCACCATTTCTTGCTGTCGCCACTTCTCCCTAGCCCATCTGCTGGCCGCACTGGCACCAAGCTCCTGCCACCTGGCCCTGGGCCCCCACTGGCTCTGGTTCCAGGGCACCGGTGTGGGCCCCCCTCACCGCTTCTCACTGCCACCACTTCTCCCCACCCCTCCACATTAAGTGGGGGTTGCCTGTATTTGACGATAGGAGCCCTGATCATATATATATTTTTAAATTTCAGTTGATTTTAATGTGGAGTTCTTCAGGGTCTAAAGTAGAAAGGGGACTTAGAAGTCAAAGAAAATACAACTAGATCTGTTGGCTATATCTATTCGCTATCGATATCTGTTGGCTATATCTATTCAATAGGTTTTCTGTGTATAGAGATGAAAATAATGTATAAGCACGTATGGTGCTACTTAAATTATTCAGGTAGGACAAGCCATTTGCAAATCCTGTTTATTTTTATATTATAAAAAGGTACTGCTTAACCTAATTTAAAGATTTGGGCTAGGTGTTGCTGGAACAGGGTAGTAGAGATGTTTACACTTTGCTAAGGCTGATTGCTGTTTTTACTTAAGCAGGCATGCTTAATGTGTGCCTTGGTGTTTATTTCTCATTACAAATTGTCACTTTATTCAGAGCTCTGTCTGATGTGGTCCGTCAGTTGAGCCGCTTTCCTCTTCTGTATGTCTGTGTTGTACTGTTAACTGTTATGACAGCAGCAGCTGACATGGCTGGGAAAAGAAAAGCTCTCAGTCCCAGGGTTTTCAGGATTATTTGACCTCTGTGCATTTCAGGAAATTCCCTGGCTGGTGAATAAACCTGCCATATGCTGTATTGCTTAAGTGAGGTCAAATGTACACAAGTTAATGTTCTCTTATTATCTGCCAGCAGTAAAATCTCTAGTTTCAGTTGATTTATTTATGGTTTAAGCCAGTCAGTTAACAGAGATTTAGATGTTAAACAGTGATTAATTTACATGTTTGCTGGCCTTTGGGAATAAAGGCTCTCCTTGTTATGGCAACAACTAGAACTCTTTTTGCATATAAATCTAAGAAAAATGGGGTTTAATTTCTAAAATGTTTTTAAGGATTCTGTAGAAGTAATAGAAGTCCTCTGAACTGGTACCTTTTGTTTATCTCTGTTACTCCTTTTTAATCTTAATTTTTAGGTAGATTTTTCTTCTTTGGAAGAATTATTTTGTGTAGGGAAATCTGAGTGAAAGAAATTCCTTATCAAACTGAAAGGAGAAAGTGGATTCCCTAGGTATATCTGTTCCATTTTATTTGACAGTGGTTTGTTGCTTAAGCTTTCTGAAGCTGAAATACTAAAACTCTAGAATTTGACAAAGGTCCAGTTTGGTAACTTCAGTGACCACTGCATTCTTTCTTTTTAAGTGAATTTA